CCCCCCCCCCCCCCCCATGGGATTCTACTGCCTTTTACTGTCACATCAAATGCAGAAGAAGAATATTATTATGAGAACTTTTTTCTTGGACAGTTGATAATTTTCTCAATACCATGTTTTGTCTTTGGTACACTGTACATATTTTGGGCTTCAGTTACCTTAGCTTTACTAAGAAGATGGTTTGTTGTCCAGTATGGTAGCACACAAGATGGTTTAGATGATATCGTAATTTTTGTTTTCACTCAGCTGTTCTCCGACTTATGCACAGTGTCAATCAAGACGTGTAACTTATTATGCAAACATAATGATCCTTGGTAATTAAGGAACAGGTAATTCAATAAAACTTCAATAAAGTTTTTTTTCTTCTTGACGCTGTCTGTATAAAATGTCTGGCTCCTGGTCAACATAAGAAAAATGAACCTGTAAGCCTCCTTGTTTATGAGACCTGGAGGGTAGAAACTCTCATGTGAACGGNTATGAGAACTTTTTTCTTGGACAGTGGATAATTTTCTCAATACCATGTTGTGTCTTTGGTACACTGTACATATTTTGGGCGTCAGTTACCTTAGCTTTACCAAGAAGATGGTTTGTTGTCCAGTATGGTAGCACACAAGATGGTTTAGGTGATATCGTAATTTTTGTTTTCACTCAGCTGTTCTCCAACTTATGCACAGTGTCAATCAAGACGTGTAACTTATTATGCAAACATAATGATCTTTGGTAATTAAGGAACAGGTAATTCAATAAAACTTCAATAAAGTTTTTTTTCTTCTTGACACTGTCTGTATAAAATGTCTGGCTCCTGGTCAACGTAAGAAAAATGAACCTCTAAGCCTCCTTGTTTATGAGACCTGGAGGTAGAAACTCTCATGTGAAAGGGGAAGGACACTCTTGATGAGTTGTGAAATGAGCGTAGAAACTATTGAACCTATAATATTATAGCCCCTTCCAAGCGAAAACATGAGGGAGAAGTGTGGAAAACTGATGGTTTGTTGTCATTGTTGTTTCCTTATTCATCTGGGTTATCATCTGGGCGTATCTAAAATTCTAGAGCTGGTGATCTCCCGCAAAGGAACTTCATTCGATATTCTAATCCAACTCAAGTACCTGTAAAACATTATGCATGCAGTCCGACCCTTTACGTGCATCCCCCCACCCTCTCCTCCGCTGGGTACTGGATTCTTCGACACACTCCTCCCCACTCTTTTGCTACCTTGTTAGCCTCGTTTCTATGTATGTGGGCCGGGCAGGAAGAAGAAGTAGAAAGGGGCATAGCTATCGCAATCGTACGAGACTTTTACCGGTCCTGGTCGCCGTTTTACGTTCTTGAAATAATTTGTTTCGAAAGTGTGGAGTTCACGACCATTATTTTTTTTCTATGGTTAAACTACTCGTTCTTTGCGGAGCAAAAGGTCTGGGGACTGTACTCTCGGTCACTGACTTGACGTTGTAAAGATAGCCTGGATGTATTTTACGATGACTGCATGAGTCATGCGACAATTTTTGATCTCCACGTTGCATTCTTTCCCAGCCTCTGACTGAGATAAAAAGACAGAGCTGTGTATGGTATATTTATTTCACCAATCCTGAAGATGTTGTTTGGTCAACTGAATTACTTTGGAAGCGATTTATGATAAACGTAAGACTCAAAAGGCTGTAGGCTTAATCATGGTAAGTAAGCTTAAGTAAGCTTAAACTTTTTTCATCTTTATGTGGCGCCACCTAGAAGTGAAATGTAGGTATGTTGCATCAAACAGTCTTTTAAGCCCGCTCAATGGACCTTAGATTGAATAATTAATTCATTGTTTCCATCCATGGTATTGAGACCTTGTCATCCATTTATCCTTGCGCTGTGCTTAGGCAGAGATGGCGTGATTTCTGGCTACTTGCTGGAGTCAGGAACGTGTCCAGTAAACGAATACAATGTGACAGGCCTTTACATGAAAACGTGTTTTCAGTGTATATTCTACAGAAAGTGGTGGATATTTCTTGGAAAAGTTTTAATTCAAACTGGATGTTTAAAATTTGAGATAAGGATCTGATAGTTTTTCTTTGCATCCCTGAAAATATAGAACGGATTTCAATGAATTTTGTGAAACCAAAACCAGATTTAACAGTGGCCAATCACAGTAGACATGGACAGTGCAGTGAACCAGTTAAAACTTGAAGCAAACATATTAATAGTCTGGAGTGCAGAAAAAAATGTGCGAGTGAGTTACAAACAAGTGGTTTAGTTCTGATTGGATGACAAAGTAGGACAAGATTTTTAAGCCAATAACGAGAATGGAGCGGTTTTCACATGAGTGTTGAGCATCATTCACATTTGCTTTGGTTTTGCATTACTATGCTACACACTTTGTCATCCAATTAAGTCAAAACCATTCTCACATGTTTTTCAACACTTCGCATTAGTTCCATGTATTTACTCAGAGTTTTAATTGGTTCGTTAGATTGTCTGTGTCCTTTGTGATTGGCCAGTATGCCAAGATTACTTTTGGTTTGGTTTTACATAGGCTGCCGGCCAGGATTTGAAAACTGGACATCCAAAATGTTCTGTAGGGTCAATGTATAAAGCAACATATAAAAAATAAAACAATTATCTTCTAAAAGTGGACATGGGCTATTAATTAGTACCAAGCCAGTATATGGTCACACTGCCTTCTTATGATTGCATGACTGTTAAATTCCTCTCACAGTCATCAGATGCAGCATCTCTTCATGCCTTGGAGCTGCTTATGAATGAATTCTTCAATGCCTCAACCAACAACCATCGGAAAAGAGAAATAGGTATTTATTAAATCTTTATTGACCCAGTTTTTGCCAGAATGCATTGTGCACTATGCAGCAATGAAAAACAATCGTAGAAACCTTGCTATCATGTAAACCAACATAATAACAGATGTGTGAAAAGCATAATGGTTAACTAGTGGTTCTTTAACTGCACAGCACATCACTGATCAATGACCTCCAAGTGTCCACACTCCCAGAGCTTCTCCTGGTTTCTGAAGCCTAAACCAACAGGATAAATGCTCACTCCCCAGTATAGGGCACTAATTTATCTTAAGTTACACCCCAGCATTTGTGAGCTGGACCAAACAACTGGCTCACTACTCTGGCCATTTATACTCCTGGAATGAGTGGGACACTGTGAGGGGAGTATCTTACTAAAGATAGTTACATTGTAACAGTTTAGAGCACTAGCATCCCTTTAATTTGCAGTCCGCTTTGTTTTGCTAGATACGCATATACCTCAGGAGTCCATGTGCTCTCTGACTGAAGTGGGTTTAGCATTGTGCATGTACATTGTGGACTTGTAAATATAGTGAGCATTCCTTGAGTATAGGAGCACTTCTTAAGGGCTTCCCCCCCTTTCCTTCCTCTCTTTCCTCTGTGTTATCAGTGTGACAGGTGCAGGTTTCTCTTCTGTGTGGGGGCTCATGGCTGGTTTGCCAGGATTTGCCAGTCCTGGGAGCAGTTTCCATCTAGGAGCTGGCTGCCAATAGTTTAAGCTCCTGGATGTCTCAGTCACCCAAATGCCATTTTGCAATACAGTTGTTAGCATTAATGATTTGGGTATTTTGGGTTATGTTGGGGTATGTTGGGGTATTTTACCTTAAGTACGCTGGCAATGGTTTCCAGCACTTTTCTAACAGCTATACTTTGAAGGATGAATTCTACCACTGTTTAACAAGTAATGCTACAAAAATGGTATCTCACATGATCCAATTGCTGTATAATTGGTAAACAAGTTGTGATCTTTTTTATATAACAGTTTACCATAGCAACAATACAACTTGTTAAAAACACCCTTAATTTTAGCTGGAAGTGCTTATTACTCAAAAATGAGCTTGGTGACTCCCATTTGTTTATAGAATTAAGATAAGCATGATAAGATGCAGCTTTTCACAAAGTTTAAAAAAATCCTATCAAGTTGGTTCAGAGCCACCTTAAATCTTTGAAGGTTTAGGCGGCTCTGAACCCCATCTTGGCTGAATTTTTTTTAACTTTGTAAAAAGATGTATTTTATCATGCTAATTGCAATTCCACAAAAAAGTTTGGTTCACAGAGCCAGTCTTCAGTTGCAAGCACTAAAATAATAATTAACCTTCAAGTTGGTGTTTTTAATAGGTTTTGCATGTCCCATGGTAACCTGTTATTCCAGGAAGATAACAGCTTGTTTACCAATGATTGGGCATTTCTGTGATATTCTAACATCACTTAAAGAGTGGAAGTTTTGATCTCTAAAGTATAACTGTATAAATTAAATGTGTTTACCTGTATAAATTCCATTGTTTTTTTTGTTTTTTTTTATCCTAGAACAAGTATTACAGAACTTTAGTCAACAATCAGGAGCATGGCACCATTGTGTATATTTTATGAACAATTGTTCAAATCAGTATGTTTTGATGTATGCGGTTTCAGTGTTTGAGGTAAGTGAAATTGCTGGTTTTCATGTGACGTCATTGAATTGTTATATTCCAAAATTAAAAATTACCCATCCTTCTGAGGTTTTATTTTCATCAGATGCACGACCCCTAGGACTTTCATGTCTCACAATGGTTTAGACCCACAGGGTTCTTCTTTTTCTAATAGAGCACATTTAAATTTCCAAGCTTTTGCATTGGTTGCATTAAAATGGCCACCCAAGAAGGCTGGCATGTAGGTCAGAAGATGGGTTATTACTTAAGTTTTTGCTAACTGAACAGTTCTTGTACTAGAAGAAGTATTCATTCCGATGTGTCAAAGCTCTAGTAAGAGCAACAACTTTTTTGCTTTAGTAGCAAAACTCAATGACAGATATTTCTGTTTCTTTATGGCCACCATGTTGGTACCCCTCAGAGCGGTAAAAATTGATCATAGCAGCACTTTAACATTCATGGTAATAGGGGAAGACAACTTTCTTGTGGAAAATGCTTTTGATGTACCATCTCAGTCTAAACTAAAACTATAATTCCCATCGCCAGTTTCCGTGCAGTCAGCTTGGAATGCTTGGCACTATAACCCCTCATTTGACAACCAAGACAAAATGGCTTGCATTTTTAGGCTCTGGCTTTCCTATGAAAGCCCAAATAATTTTGGTGGGATATATGACTTACATTGTACTATTGCTAAATAATCAATTTTGCTGATGTTCATGTCATTTTCATAGAATCTCATCAATAAACAGTGGATAGGAGCACAAGCCGGAGATAAGGCTGAAGTGCGCCAATTTCTTAATGAATATCTTTTGTCGCACCACAAGAAGCTTCCAACACACATCAGAAACAAGCTTGTTAAAGTGATTGTTGACGTAGGACGGGTTGACTGGCCACATTTCTACCCAAATTTTTTCTCAAATATTATTGAGGTAAGTCTTCTCTCTTCATAGAGTTTACTCAAATAACAATGTCTTAACTTACATGCAGACTTCTACTAAATACATGTATTTCCTTTCTCCATGTCATTGTGGAGAAATGATTTTTTGAATCTCTGCTGCTTATCATGTTGTGGTATCCTTCTGTTCACATTTTAAATTTTGCTTAGAGGTAAATTGGAGTGATGTGCAAGCCACACAATTTTTTTCCTCTTGAAAAATAATTCCTAACCCTCCCAAAAGCCAACTCTAGGGCAAGAAAGTAAGACATGGAGGCAATGCAACCATGACTTGTAATCTGGAGGTCACAGGTTTCAATGTCTTCAAGTCCTATTCTGACCACTAGTTGGTGTTTTTCTGTGGTAGGCCTGAGGTCAACTGCTCGACTGGGTACACGTGTAAAAATTAGCCTGGTGGTCTGTCTCCTGCCAGTTGGGATTCCAAATCATGTTATCTCATTCACAAATTGTTTGTTTCCATTGGCCCTGAAAGTGCCATTGGGGGAGTGGTTAATTAGATAATGTTGTAACTATAATTATTTATTTATTGTTTTATTTTTAGTGTGAAAAAGGCCAGTGTTGAGGAGAATTATTTTAATATTTTATTTTATATATTTTTTCAGTTGCTCCAGCAACCGTCCACAGTAACTTTAGGCTTGGTCATGCTCCAGACAACATCAGAAGAAATGGCATCCCCCAGGGAAGACTTGAGTATTGCTAGAAAAACTGAAGTGCACAGACTATTGCTCAATGAAGTTCCTGGAGTTCTTTCTTTGTTAACACATTTATTGGACAGAGTCTTAGAAAAGCATCGCCGACTTGCAACAACAGTCACACCACCTCCATCTCCTACTCACGGAATGTCACCAGTTAGAAGTACAAGCCCTTCAGTATCAGGATCAGGTTCATTATCATTATTCTCATCGTCAACATCTGCTGATCAGACACTTCAACACCCGGGAAGTAGTAATCTCATGGGAAGGTTATTGAGTAATTCACCGATGAAATCTAGACAGAATTTAGGACATCCACTGCCTCCTTTAGACTCAGAATCAGAGGAAATTAGTTCTCTAGTGCTCAAATGTTTGGGCCATCTCTTTAGCTGGATCCCTCTGTCTACAACAATTACACCATCACTTGTGTCTACCGTGTTTTATCTTGCGGAGTTTGGCTGCAATGTAGTGCCGACAAGTTCTGGTAGCAATGTTGTGGGTAATGCTGAACTAGGTTAGTATGAATTAAGTAAACCGTGATTAGCAATGCTGTGTTCTGAAAGATATTAGAAAATCCTGTCTTGCAATGTATATGGCTCCTTTTTGTGGCTGATATAATGTGTTTTCTGATTGGCTAATTTGAGGACATCATTCTCCTGGAATGTCCATGGGCCGATTACGGACCTGCAAATCAAAGGAAAAAGCAATATGATAAACAACTTATTAACCTCGAATGTTCAGTCTTTACAGGAAAATCTCAAGCCTCGGCCTTGCTGTATTGACTAAACGATAGTGAGGTTAATATGGCCAAGTTTCTGTTTGAGATTTTCCCATAAAGACCTCACTCTTGATTAATAAGTAGTTAATATTGACCAAGTTTGTTCAGTCAAGATACACTGTTGTGATTATCTTATAGCCTTACACAAGGGCCATACTGTGAGAATATTGGTCTGATGTCTTGGCAGTACAGACCAAGTGAAGTTATTTTCAGAACAATAAAAACAGACCAAAGGTTGATATTTTCCCAGTATGGTCCCAGGTAATCTTGGTTAATGAGAGATTTATGACATGACTGAAAATGCTCTAAAGAAATTACAGACTGAAAAGACTGTGTTAACTTCAAGCATGCAATTCTGATTGAGAGCCATCATAGGTATTATGCATTTTACTCATGAATGTATGTTTTTGAAAACGGGAAAAAAAGAAAAAATAACCATTCACATGTAAGTTAGTTACAGTTGAACCTCTACTAATTAACAACAGCCACCTGTCTACAGCAGCCATATATTTAAGTCAGAGTCGGGAAATTTGCTCTTATTTTAATCTCACCACAATGGCTGCCCCTCCACAATGACCAGTACACTCTATTCCTAGGGTGGCCATTGTAGAGAGGTTCAACTGTAGTAATAACTTTAGATCGCTAAAATGTTAGTGATAACTAAACTTTAGGATTGATTCTTACTGACAACATTCTTTTCCTTGTTGCCTGTGTTCTGTCACAGAAGCATTTTACTTACTAAATAATTCAGTAGAACCATTATCATCATGGAACCATTAATATTTTGTAGTAAAATTTCTATTATTACTGTGTTAGCATACTGTTTTATTTCAGCTGCCATATTGTCTTGTGTTGCATTTTTTTTTTAAGGTGTCTCGGCAATGTCCTGTATTAATGAACTGCTGTCCAAGAATTGTGTTCCAGTTGAATTTGAGGAGTTCTTGCTGAAGTTGTTTCAACAGACATTTCAGTTGTTACAAAGAATAACAAAAGACACAGGAGCTCAGGCTGTGGAGAACCTCCTCACAGAACAAGATGAAAGGTGAACTATAAGTAAAACTAGTGAGACAATCTCAGATAGTGCAGAGTGCAAGTGATAGCTCTGGTAGGTAGTCAGACAGGTACTCACCCCTGCTAGGTTCACTTCCGTATGACAAGGAGAGCAAGGGGTTACCTGAAACAAACATGTAGCTTTGCATTGTTCACACACTAGTCTAGGTGGAACATGTTTTAAGTAGAGTACGCATGTACCTATCCCACGCCACCCCCAACAAGATTCCTTGCCCCTAGATTAATTAATTTTATTTATTAATTAAACAAACATTTAAGTTTACACCCAAGTACCTTAGTACCTTAGTACCTTAGTACCTTAGTGCCCGAGTGCCCAAGTGCCCGAGTGCGTTAGTGCCTTGGGGCCTTGGGGCCTTAAGGCGTTAGTGCCTTAGTACCTTAGTACCTTAGTACCTTAGTACCTTAGTACCTTAGTGCCTTAGTGACTTAGTGCCTTAGTGACTTATTTCCTTAGTGACTTATTGCCTTAGTGACTTAGCGCCTGAGCGCCTGAGCGCCTGAGCGCCTTAGCGACTGAGCGCTTAGCGACTGAGCGCCTTAGCGACTGAGCGCCTTAGCGACTGAGCACCTTAGCGCCTTAGCGCCTTAGGGCCTTAGCGCCTTAGCGCCTTAGCGCCTTAGCGCCTTAGCGCCTTAGCGCCTTAACGCCTTAGTGCCTTAGTGCCTTAGCGCCTTAGCGACTGAGCGCCTTAGCGACTTAGTGCCATGTCTTGATTGTTTTTTCCTAAGATTAATGTTATTTTTTTGTGTTTTTTTCTATTTCAGCTATTTGAGCAAGTTCACAGAGTTCTTGAGACTCTTTGTGAGCATACACCTGAGAAGATTTGAAAACAGCTCCCATTTCCCAGTGCTTGAGCTGCTAACATTACTCTACAAATATACTTTCAAACAGGTGAATACCTATTAGTAATTAATTTCTTAGTTGTACTTTTCTGCTTAGTGATTTAATTATTCTTGAAATTAAAGATCCTTTGTATAAAGTAGTCACAAAATTTTGCACTGTTATATCACGCCAATGTCATTACAGGCCTCTCTATGTTAAAATCATTTGAACCTCCACGAAAGGCCACCTCTCTTCAATGGCCACTTTTTTTGTCCCGACTAATGATCCATACATTCACTTTATTTTAACCTCTCTACAATGGTCACCTCTCCACAACAGTAACAGCCACTAAAGCGCATCCCAGCTACCAAAATAACCTCTTGACAATGGCCAATTAATCAATGAGTGATGAATGGTGTATAGAAAACCCTATTTTTAATGTACTGTAAAAGGTGACGAAAATTGATCCATACCTCTGTTTGGTTTCTGTTGCAGTATCAATATACTTTGATTGTGTTACTTATTTACATGCTACAGTACATGTAAGCATTTTGTAATGACAAAAAGGTTGCACCCCCCCAAAATACAAGTGTCATATTACACCCCTACCTCCCCATAATGGCTGCCTCCCTTTAATGGCCACTTTCCTCTGACCTCAAGGCATGGGTAGATCCAATATTTTTCAGTGGGGGGAGGGGGGATGTGGCTAGTGTCTTGAGGTTGCAGAATCAATGGGGCATGTCCCCAAAATGTTGCATTTTGAGTATTGTAGCCTTATTAAAAAGCGTTTCATAGAAATATATTTACTAGCAATGCCACAAAGTAGAAATTACAATGAGGTACCTTTCCCGAGAGTTTGCATGTATTTCTACCATAATATTCACGATCTTTTTCAATTTTTTTATGTTTTGCTTCTCCAAAAGGGTGAGACTAGCCACCCAATCCCCCCCTCCCCCCTAAATCTGCCCGTGCCAAGAAGGTTGTTGTGGAGAGGTTCAACTGTATCTGTTTGTCTAAAATTGACTTTCACTTGATATTACCTGAGATTTCTGTTTTTCAGCCACAGCTGGAAGGGTTTTTTGCCTGCCTTGATATTTGGACCGTGTTTCTAGATTATCTTATTGGTAAAGTGGCAAATGCAAGAAGTGACAAACTGGCTGAGGCTGAAGCTACTGTTAGCAGGTTTGTAAATGACTCAAATAATGATGTTTGCAGGGTCCTTTGGCATTGTATTAACCTTTGTTAGACAGACGTTCCATGTAAATAAGCATAATTGTATGGTCCTGTCATGCTTGTGAAAATTTAAACTATGTATTGTAGATACAAGGAAGTTTTACTGATGCTGTTAACTGAGCTGCTGAAGAAAATTCAATTCCGACATAATCAAAGCCAACTGGAGGAACTGGACGATGAAAGCTTGGATGATGATGTAAGTTATATGTAGCATTGGACAATCTTTCTGTATACAATGTACATAATATTATGTAATACAGAACTTTATAAATTGCCCCCTGTAGGTTTAAATTACTGAGTGAAAATTGTTTAATTATTGTAGGTTTAATCTCAACAAATTGGTTAAGCTCACTCAATTGTCTGCCTACAGTCTACGGAATATATATGCATAACATTCCATTTATTTGTACTGACATGCCATTTGCTAAAAGTGTGGTTATGGAGAGGACATTTGGCCCATATTGTTGAACGTAGAGACATTAACAAAGCAAGTGTCTGCTTTCCAGTGGCACTTATTCATTAAAGTAACTTTTTGTGAAAAAAGGTGCAGGAAAAACAGGCCCATGGATATGCAGATGGGGACTAGCATGCCATCTAGGGAAAGTAGAAATACTTCTAGTCACCTCCATGAAAACTAGCTGAGATAACTATGCACCATCCTATACCAATCATTAACAAGCTTGCACTTAGTCAATTATCTCTAGGGTGATTGCTGCGAGAAATGGGATTTACAATCAAAACATTTTTGGTAGCAGCTGTGCTGCCTGTACAACAACAAAAAGATTTGTGAGTTGAAAGTAATCGCAGATGCGTCGCTAGTAATTTGAGGGGTCAGATAATGATGGCCATTTAATATTAATAGATTGCTGCTTTTGTTTTCAGTCGCAGACAGAGTGGCAAGCATTTCAAAGGAATTGTCTGGAAATTGTTGCCAAGTTAGCAGAACTGTTGCCTGGAGAAACTTTCTCCCTGTTGGTAAGGATTAGTGATAATAATGTAGGGGTACATGTAGGTAATAGGGTGTGACAACCCAGTGGCAGGGTGGAAACTTAACAGAAGTGGTAAGAAAGGAAAGGAAGTGGGACTTGCAAGGTGGCACAAACCAGGAGCACTCAGGAACATTTTTTGCAGCAGTGCATTGTAAGAGGTGTCAAGGAAGAGGTAGGAACTGGGAATAGAAGGTATGCAAAGTAAGAAGTTTAGGTTGCCCTCTCAAACAATTTGTATAATGCAATTCTTGTTTTCAATGAACAAACTGAAGAAGGACTTAACTTTATGAGCAAATTTAACTTACGTTGTGTTATCCCCTTGTGGAGAGTAGAACTTCATTTGTTCGGATTGTTTTAAATGTATATTTACTGCTATGTTTATTTATTTCAGTTCCCTTTGTTCAGTGAATACTGTGATGTGTACATTGGTCTTGGAGAGTACGTTAGAAAAACTGCTCATGGTAAGATAATTTTTGCCATCTCTGGTAGATTTATAAGGACTACTTTAATCAAGGCTAAAAATAGTTCATAAATACAAAGGTGGTAAATTTTAAGCTCTGTCATACATGGTACGTGTAATTTGATGTTGGCTTGAGGATAGATAGCAATAGTGTGTTACATGTAAGTAGCTGTCCTTAACAGGAGTCAATTCCAACAGAACCCCACACTGTGTTGCGGGAGACTTGTGTGTAGAAAGTCATTGGTTCAACTCGCACTAGCCTGCGTTGCAGACATGGGTAAATTTCTGTCTGTGATGCAGACTAACTCGCACCAGAGAGTCAGAATTTGGGTTTTGCATTTCGCTTGTAACAAATCGAAAAAGCTGCTTAACACAAAAACGCTTGCATTTTATATTTCTTACCCAATGACACTATGCATTTTTCTTCTGTCAAAATCCTAATCTTTCCAAAGCCATGTCCGGTGTATAGAACATTTTCACTCACATGGCCAGCAAAGTTAGTTAAACAAAAGAAAGTGTTTACATAAGAAAAGTGTTCAACTCCCACAGGATTGGTTTGGTACACCAACATGGCCGCCGATTCATTGTTGTGGAACACCAATATGGTTGCCGTGACGTCATGAGAAAACGCTCTATTACTGTTGAGTTGGATGGGATGCAAATCCATTGCACGTTGCCTCACTCCGTCCCCCTTATTATTGCTACCATTGCTTATCACCATCCCATTAACTTGTACTCTCCCATGCCTGAAGAATAGTTAATTAGTCCCAGGATCACATTTCAACTTTCATTTTGTTTCCAGGCTTACATCTCGGTATCAGTGCTGAAAATGAATGTCATCAATTACACTGCACACTGAGGGACTTGACCACCATGGAGCGTGCCCTGGGAAGGCTGTCAGAACATTTTATTGGTGAAGTGAATTTTGCCAACAGGTTTAGTGATGGGGAAGCAATTGTCGAGAGACTAGGACAAATTGCGTTGTTTGGTACACAAAGCCAACTATTTGCAGTGCACACAGCTGTGCCAAGTGTCCTTCAACCCGACCTAATCGAAGTGTAAGTAAATCTGGTTGTATTTTGTTGGTTTTCCTCCATTTGAAGAATTCCGGCCTAGTGATTGACTTTATGGAGTACATACAAACCACGATGACAACTAAAGAAAGAAAATTTATAAACAAAAAGTTTAATGATCAACGGTATACATCTTGGTGCCTTTTTTAGCCATCCTCTGTAAAACACTGAAGCAACATGAAGTAAGGTAAGGTAAGGTAAATTTAGTTTGAGTCGTAAACGTAAGGAGTGGTTCCCCAGATCCCGAGCCAGGGGCTCATGACAAAAACGCACGACTATTAAGTGACCCTAAAGGAAGAGAGTAAACTAAGCAATGAATTTTCGGTGATTAAATCTAGATGTGAACAGATGTGAACATACAGAGGATACTTTTAATAGACAAGCTCAATTGTGTATTATCCTTGAAAACTTTTTCAAACAAAATTTTATGAATTCATTTTTTAACAGACATTATCTTTGGTGTTTTTGTATTAACGTAGTTTCTCTACATTTCTGTAGAAAGTATGGAAGACGGGAAGACTCAAAAAATCTCAGCAGACTTAGAATGGGGAAGGTGCTGCTCTTCCATAGCACAAGAGAACGTCGCAATGAAATTATGTCACAAAGACCCCAAAGAATTGATCCCTCTAGGGTCTTTAAAAGTAATTAGTGACGTTGAAAACCCCCAGTGCACTCAAATCTGGCAGACATTTCTTCTGATAATCACCCCCCTATTGTAGACTTTTTTAATTTTTTTTTTTAACAGCATAAGAACTACATTATTTTTCTGGCTTATATCCCTATGGCACATGTTTGTACCAACCAAACTTCTCTATCAAATTCCCACCCCCTGTGATAATTTCCTCACCCACAAAGTCTTTTGGAAAAATATAAGCCCGGGGATTGTACGTATTGTCCTCCCTACTTACTAATAACTTGATGCAAGCCTCTGATGTGTTTCAGTTAGTTATTTTTTTTCTTTCAGCCATGCCCAAGGACTGGCTGCATTACAAGCATATTGTCACTGGATGGCTCAGTATTACCTGGAAACACACCGACAACAACAGCACCAAGAAAAGTTTGTGGCTCTTGTCTCCAATGCAGTTGATGCTTTAGTGCCATTGTTAAACAAAGAGGTAAGTTGGTGTCTTGTACACAAAAGTTAAGCGCAGTCGAATTTCTCGTATGCAAGTACTCTGAATGCCATGTCTCTGTGGTTGCTTATGGTAGTTGGTCACTTCACAGGAATTCTAAATTTTTGATTCATAGTCTGTAGCTGTTTCAACGGTTTAATCCATGCACCGTAAAGCCGCAAACGTGTTTATATTTTACGCAGGGCAGGAAAAAACATTTTCAATCCATTTGCCCAGTGGGCCAGTACATCTCAGTTTTCAGTTGCACCTGTTAAAATATTACTTGCCCAATAGGCATGCAATGTTCATGCCTCATCAACTACATCATTTACTAGGTACTGTCTATGATCAGTGATATACCATAACAGAGGATGAACGCGAGCAGAGTATGCTTGGATCGATTTTAAATTGATCCATGCTATCAACTCATTGTTTTGCTCATCTTGATGTCTTAAGTTTTGAAATTGCTTTTCATTGGAAATTATCACTAACAAGACTACTGAGGCTAATTTCACTTGTCCATCAGACCACCAAACTTCCATTTTCACTTGCTCAAGAGCAAAATTTACTTGCCCCGGGCAATCGTACCTGGGTTTTTCCTGCCCGGGATACGCATTAAAATTATTACCCGAAACTATTTTGGCGTTTCATTGTGGATCTACCAACAAACGCCTATTTCTGCATACAGTTTTTCTGTGTAGAAACCTTCTGAGTGATTAGCTGCTGAGTGGACATGAATCTGACTGATTGACAAGCTGTTTTCTTTGTAGGTTCCTCAACGTATTTCATTGCCTGCATCTCACCTTCTCAACTCATTAGCATCTACTGTTCGCCCGTCATTCATGACTGCCCTGGAAAAAATACAAAACCTCTTCCACGACGTCAGCAGTGGTGCCTTGTCTGAAATGCCGCTTGAGGTACGTTGTGCAGTTGATTTTCCTGTTTCATTATACCGAGGGGTAAAAAACGTCAGTTTTTCAATCGACCATCTCAATAAATAATGCTGACAGTGAGCAGATGTGTCACCAGATTTTGTAACTACAATTGAAATAACTTTACATCATTTTGTAAGGGCAATTCCTGTTTTGCTACATGCAACACTGTTTCAGTTTCATAAGGCGTAATCTCTTCACTTAGATTATTCTATTTTATTCCCAATGCACCTGTAGGTGCAGACCTTAGTTATTAGATCTCTGTCCAATGCTTTGGTGTTACCATGGCCAAGCAAGGCTGATAACGAACAGGTAAGAAAACTAGTCCATTATTCCTGCCCTTGTAAGTAAAAAAAAAAACGTTTTGAACAAAGCCATTTTTCATAGAGGAACGGTGTATAAGGAGGGGTGAGGGTGTCCTTCATAACTACCGCATTGTTGCTAAGGATGGCTTGTAATTATCATAACTTCAAGATTTTGGATTTTTCACAGATATTTAAGTTCTTCGACCACAACAGCATGTGACCACAACAGGGAAAAACCCTAAATCAACTTCATTTTTTGTCGCTAAAAACAATGCTTATGATTTAAAAGTGCCATGGGTTAGTTGAAGTTCACGTAAATTTACCAGAAAAACCATAAAAGTTGTAAACGCATTTTGAAAAGTGCATGCAAACAATGATAGAAGAAGTTTAATCGCTTTTGATTCATTGAAGAACTCCTACCTTTATATTTTTCCCTGGAGCCTTGGGGATTTTAATGATTTGTTTGTCCTCAATAATAGTTTTCAGTGAGGATGCGCTGTGTAATGCAATAGATGAGCTAGTTGATTTTAGAACAGCGTGGAATCTAAGAAGTCTTTTGTGTTTAGGAATGGGAGGTTCGGTCACAAAGCCATCAGAGTTTTATCCAAAGTGTTAAACAGCCATTCAAAAGTGTCGTGGACACGCCAGGATTTGCAGAAAACAAACAGTTACAAGAGAGTGGTGAGTATCATCTGCACCCCCATAACCTGCTCTGCAAGCCTGCAGTCAAACCATTCTTTATTTTGACATGACAGAAAACAAGTAGTTAGATGAAGTACCACCAGATTGTCATAACACATTCTAGTGATATTTATATTTCTAGCTTGGGACTAAAAGAATACCGTTATCAAAGTTTCATAGTGCAGTTCAAACTTATTAAAGGGAAAGGTTTCGGGGAGAGGCGTTGGTGGTCGCCAAATCGCTTAAGAAATCGTGTATATGTCTAGCTTTTTTTTGTAATCTGCGGTCAAATATTCTTCCGCCGCGGTTAAGAAAGGGTCAACGCAAAGCAGAATAGGCCATTTCCGAGTTGCCTTGTGCCTCTGTTTGAAAACGAGTCTTCGTGCGAACCATAAAATATGGAAATGTTCCGCCTTGAGGTACATTTTCATGCAAATCAAACTCATTTTAATATGAAAGGTTTTGCACGAAGACTCGTTTTGAAACAGAGGCACAATGTAACTTGGAAATGGCCTATTAAACCTTTTGCCAAACAGCCATATCTTTGTAACTCAAGGTGCTTTCTAACTGATTGTTATTTCTCTTATTTACAGCCAAGTCACGTGTGCATTTCACCCTGCATGTGTTGGGGGATTTAATGGCTGCAGTGGCAGAAGACCAGGTTACCAAGACCAAGCTTATTCTGTACCAGTCCATCACGGATGTCGTTCAACTCACTCTTACTATTTTTCCTGTGTTTATTCATCATCCAGGTACACAAGAACATTTCCTTTTGTTTTTTCCCCTGTTCTTGAGGTGATTACAGTTAGCAGATACTCTTGTAAAATTTAGAATTCAAAAATTCTTCTTTCCTCTTGCCAACAATTTGTGCTTAGAGTTCAGTCCCCGGCTGCGCGAATGCTGGATAACGCTATCCACCGGATAAATCGCTATTCAGTATTCAGTTTAAACAAAACAAACCACACTTTACACGGGATAGGTATTTATCCAGTGATTATAGCTTTATCCACCTTTCGAGCAACCCGGGCCAGGAGGTCAAACTCTTTCATTCTTAAGGCCAAACCCTTGCGTCTGTAAAATAATTGTTATGAATCCCTAGTTTGTCACATTTTAAACGAACGCTTTTGAGCAGTATTGTGGTACTGACAGCTTATTATGCTGCACAATGTGACTGTAACTTTCGGTTCTGTAGATTAAAACCTACTGTGCGGGTTATTCAGATGTAGACTACTGAGTTAAGATTCCATTTGTTTGTTTGCTCATATCGCAGATACAACAGATGAGATTCTAGGCTTCCTTCTGACGTTGTTTGAGAGTCTCAAGGTACAGCTCGGCCCAGCTGTGACAGAGCAGATCGTACAGCAACTGCTTCACACTTTCACCAGGCAGCAGCTGACCGAAACACTGCATCACGAGAGCACTGCAGGCTCACGTGTCATTACCAAGTTCCTGAAGATTCTGCAGCTCTTGGTGCAGGAACCCGCGGCCTCCTTCAAGGCTTTCCTTCCTAATATAATCGGGCTGTGTATGGAGCAACTTTACCCAATTTTAGTTGAGGTAAAGAACCATTTTACATTTTTTGTAGTCAAATTACAAACACTTGACACTAAAAGAGACACGATTGTGCGCTCGGTTTTCCGTTAGGTCTGTTGTTAAGTAACAAGTGTTCATACTTTATTCTGATTGGTTAAAAAGAATCGGAAAGAATTGGAAACTTTTCGGGTTTCGTCGCCGAGGATTTGCCGAAAATGACTTTTGGTCTCTGAGTTGAAAAACCTCTTGCAGTTTACCAAAAAAATGTCTTGTTCACAAAATGAACGAGAATTTTCCTTTTCTATCTTTTTTTTTTTTTTGCTGCAGCAACCGTGCCCCGATATCAAGTGTGAATTTTATGAGCTGCTTCATCAGTTACTACTTCACAACTGGCGCTACTTCTTCCGCTCATCACTACTGGCCCGTATGTCTGCGGGCGAAGAGACTGTCGAGAACCAACCTCAGTTTACTGCCATTATGCAGGTATGCCACAAATATGACGCTTACAAGACCTCGCTAAAGGGTCAGAAGTTCAATTATTTTCATTAAGAGGCTTAGGTCTTTACAATTTGCTTCAAGATAATACAGGACATTGTGAACGGGAGCTTGATTTAACAACGATTGCAATATATTGGTCTTAGATCCACTACACCTGCTGAGTTAGTGTAAACATGGTACCATGGTTTAGGATGTAATTGTCTATTTGTTTTTCTCATTTCGTGCAGGCTTTTGGACAATCTTTCCTTCAACCTGATATCACAGTATTTAAACAGAATCTTGAAGCGTTAGAAAACCTCAACTCCAAGTGTAAACTGTATCAGAAGGTTTGTTTTCCTCCGTTTAATTGACTACTCTAAGCAGTAACTGTGTGTGTGTGGTGTGTCAATCAATCAATCAATCAAGCAAGCAAGCAAGCAATCAATCAATCAATCAACCTTGCAAATAAACCTGTCAGTCAATGTCACTTAAGCAATTTACCGATTGACTGTTGTAGGCTTCTTTTCCTTCGTTTATTTGAGTAATCTTAGCAGTATTAATCAATCAGTCAGACAGTCAGTCAATCAGTCAGTCAGACAGTCAGTCAATTAGTCAGCCAGTCAGTCAATTAGTCAGTCAGTCAGTCAGTCAAACAAACAATCAGTCAACCTAGCAAATATACCTGTCAATGAATGTCACTTAAGCAGTTGACGGATTGACTTTGGTAAACTGTTAGTCTTACTTAACAGCATTCCTGTTTTGACAGTTTCTTATTCTCTAATTTTATTTCGAAAGCTGTCAGCCATAGACCTTGTCAGAAGTATTTGATGAAAATGTTGCTCGATCATGTTTGCATTTTGTCTCTGATGTACATTTATTATTTTTTTAAAAAAGTTCTATCTGTATTCCGAAAAGCCCTTTTGGGACGAATAAAGTATGTATGTATGTTGTCCTAAGTCTACAGAGCGAAAATGATTACGAACAAAATTAACGCTGTTTTTGTTTTTTCTTTCTTGTTGCCAGCTCATCTTTAAAGACGTCATGTTACTTCAATTTGTGAATGTGTTCCTTCAAGCGCTGGTCTACAGATCACATGACTTGCTACAAGAAGAGATCACCATCACACTGTACAATATGGCGGCTGTTGATTTTGACTCGTTCTACTCCGCGTTCCTACCTCGGTTTCTTGGAGGCTGTGAAGGACTCACAGAGTCACAGAAATCTGAGCTAGGAAAGAACTTCACCCCTGACAAGGTGAGTACAACCCGAGAAATTATGGACCTAGATAAAATAGAGTTGAATGTAAGTAGACCTACTTTAGATCTTAGAGGAATTTGAACATGGCGTCAAAACTTGACTCGAGGGAAATAGGTTTCCTAGTTCCTGCACGACTTTCTCCCAGGCCTTCACAGTAAATTGATTTCGGTCACGTTTCCGAGACCAACGGCCGCGCCAATTTTTCGCCTCAAACCACGTGACCTGAAAATGATTGACCGAAGCGAAATATCGAGAACCTATGAACTACAATCGGCGACATAATTAGTTGACACATTGTCTTTCAATAGTACTTTTAGTGCACCAATAACACCACTCTTTTTATGGCGCAATAAATTGTGGAAAAGACCTCGCTCCCCCATTCGGTGTTACATGTTTGTACCTCAAGATCACAGCAATTGCCGCACAATATTGTGGGGAGGGGGGCTGAAAGGACAAGCTAGGAGGGCAAAAGGGGATCACAGTGACGAAATAGGGGGTTAAAAAGGTCAATGGGTCAACAATTTTGTCGCTGATTGTAGGCAAGGAAAAATGGAAGGAGGGATGGAGAAAGAGGGGAAGGGAGGGAAAGATAGAGGACGGCGGATGGCATAAATTCCCAGTAAGAATTTTACTTCAACAAGAAATTGTTCATATCCTCCTAACCCTGTTCAGTGATTAATACACTTGACAACTTTGATGGTAAAGAGAAAGTTGATGTACATCACTTTGGTTCTTGTTGTGGTTGATTCTCATTTCCCGGATGTAGATCACTTTTGGTTTATTTGACGTGCTTTTCTTGTTCCTGTTAGGACTTGCCATCTTTTACACAGAGTATTCACCGGTTTGTAGGAGATTTACGGTACTACAGACTGTGTAACAGCAGCTTGCCCTCGGGGACTGTCAAGTTTTAATAGACAACTCTTATTTAAACGACGGCGAAACATATAATTTATACTCGTGTAATCACACTGGTTTAGTTATACTCTTGTAATTTATACGTTATTATCTATAAACTGTGTAATATATACTTGGGTAGTTATACTCGTATAATTTATACTTGTTTATTTACCGTTCCAAAACTGTGAGCAAAAGGAGACCAAAAAAGTTACATGTTAAGAGATGTTGGAAATATTGTATATTTTTATATTTACAAGAGTACCAGTGTAATTTGTAAAGAAATATTAAAATTAAGCATTTTTTAGAATAGTATTGATTATGTGTGGAGTATGTCAGATGAACAAATATATACGATATCGTAGAAAGTAAGTTTGTTCATTGTTTTTCTTTAACGCAAATCGTTATTTGTTATTTGCAAATCGTTCTTTAACACAAAACCAACCATCTGTTCCCTTTTCGAAAGTTTTGGAATTTTTGGTTGAATGGAAAGTGCTGCTCGCGATGTTGTCCTCTTTTTCTGAAATTCCGGAAAATGCTGAGTGCTTTCCATTACACCAAAATTACAGAACTTTTTTAAAACTGGAGCAAATGGCACATAATTTTCCTTGGAAAGTTTCCAGAAAATCCGGAAATTGTTAAATTTGCGAAATGCAAACCATTCAACCGAAAATCACATGGAACAGAAATTCCCGGTAAATTTTGGGTAAACAACAACATTTTACTTTTAATCGGATGTTGGTCTGAGTGTATTTTTAAATCGAAATTTTTGGACGAATTCCCCTGTTCCCGGTCGTCGTTGGAAATTTCCCAAAATTTCATCGAAAGGAAAGCGCCATCTTTTTCCCTTCAAGTGCCTGGTTTTCAACCCAACATAAAAGAAAAGTGCGTTGCCTATGGCCTATACCAGGATCGAGATTCAATTAATTTAAAATTAAGATTTCAATTTTATTTCTTGCTTCATATTTTAACTGTAACTGTAACAAGTTCATCCTATAGTAACCTGTCGACCATTTAGAGTCTCGGACTAAAATTCCATTTGAAACACGGCAATGAAATCATTTGAAAAAGCCCTTGACCTTACTTCATGACGCTTTTAGTTTGTGACTCAGGCAGGTGAACTGAATATCAGACAGAAACTTTCAAAGGTCATTTGCCGTTTCTGTTAGGTTTTCACTGGTGAGATTTTCAGTCACGTCTTCCAGCATTTATACAGCCTGTTCCAGGCTCTCGCTCAATGGGAACGATCAAAAATGCGGCCGGGCGACGAGCGACGAGCGACGAGCG